CGCACTTATTTTTTATTCTTGTTTTATTATTATTTATAGTTACTTTAAATATAAATATAAGATAAATTATTATATTTGTTTGAACAAGCTGAAGAGTAGCAAAGTCTTCGAATAAGATTAGAATGTAATCAAAATTAAAGAAACTAATATTTAAAAATAAAATAATAATATTATATTAATTTATTTTTTATATTCTTAATTTTATTAGTATTAATATTTAATTTTTATATTAATATATTATGTTATAATTTTTTATTTATAATAAATAAAAATTATATTATATTTGAAACTAAAAATATTTATACACGATTACACGTATTTAAAAACTAAATTTATTTAATCATAAATTATTATATTTGTTATATTTAAACAAGCTGAAAAAGAATAAATGAATTAAAACTTAAAAATAAAATATTAATATTTTTTTAATAAATTTTTCATATTTTTAATTTTATTATTATTAATATTCAATTATTATATTAATATAGTATGTTATAATTTTTTATATTTATAATAAATAGAAATTGTTTAAATATAAATTATATTTTATTCGAAAGGAAAAATTTATAAAAAATAATAAGAAAATAAAATAAAAAATTTATTATAATATATATATATATATATATAATCAGACCATATAACAAATAATATAATTATAAATAAATTATATAATAATATATATTTTTGTAACTTGCACATGTTTTAATTAAATTATTAGTTAATTTATCAATTTATATGTAATATATAAGTATATGTTTTAATTTATTGTATCAGTAATATTTTCTATATTACATTAATGTTATAATATAGTTAATTTTATGTTTATTTGTTAATTTAAAATAACAAATTAATGAGACAAATAAAATTAAATATTTTGTAATTATTTTTTTAATTTAATAGTTATTATTATTGTCATTATATTTATATATATATATATATATATTGCATTAAGTTTAAATTTATTTATTTTTTAAAACATAATAATTTTCTTTTAATTGATTCAACAAATTGTGTGAATGTTATTTTTTTTTATCTATTTTATGTGTTTACTATAACTTTATTTGTTGAATATAAGATGTCTTTAAACAAACAAAATATGTTTCTGAAATAAAATTAAAATATTTACTATTTATATAATTTTTAAAAATAAATCAAGAAAAATATAAATATAAATATAAATTTTTTAAATATAAAATATTTATAATTAATACTTAAATAATATTTATAAAATTATATAAATATTATTATAATTATTTAATAATTATTAGTAACATAGATAGAAATTAAAAAATATATAAACTAATTTGATAATAAAATATTTATATTTTTATTAATATTAATTTTTTTTTTGTAACAGACTTTGTTAATAGGTTTCAGGCCAGAGCAGACCTAAAATAAAGTCTTTAACAGGTAATAGGTCAGGCTCAAGTCTAATAATTATGTTACAGGTCAGGCCTGTTTAGAATAAAGTCTAGCCTGACATGTTTTCATCCATAATTACAAGAGTATCAATGTAAAAAAAATTTCGTAAATTTTAAAAATACTATTATTTTTTCTTATATCACTTTTTCACAATCAATGTAAAATTCTTTTGTATAATATATTTTTACACTAATAGTTATAATTAGAAAACACAAAAATTAAAATAAAATCAATTCTTAAGGAAGTTTCAAGAAATCTAATATGTTTAGTTTTGAGAGTATAAGTCATGCGTAGTGCTAAATTGAACTTGAAAAGCATTAGTGTTGCTTTCATAATACTTTAAACAATGGCTAGTTCGGTCATTACATTCCTAACAATCACTAGATGTGTCAAATTCTACAACTTTAAACCGCATTAGCTAAATTATTTTCAAGCCTTCCTTAGTCGGACGATGCTGCTGCATTAAGTTTTACGTAAAATAACACTATTTTGTCTTTATACAGATTATACTAACATGCATTATTCTTAATATAAATGAGAATTGAATCTAAAATATCTGCCTTGATCATTATTTATAAAAATTATTTTCATAAAAATCTTCTCAACCTCAGTTTCAAAACTGAATTTAAACATTTACAAATAATAAAATTTATTAAAATATATATAAAAGTATAAAAGTATAACAAATATCTTTTTTATATAAGATTATTATTATTAATTACTTAAACTCGATTTTAAAGAAAATAGCATTCTAACATTTGTAGGTGTCAAAAATATCAAACTGAAGTACCCTTCGTTATAGTGCGTTATTGTTATTGAATGAAATAATGAAAAACAAAATGTGGGAAGTCAACTACAAATACAAAAAGTATTTATTCCAGTTATTCCACTGACTCAAACGTTGCTCTGCACCGCACATTGTGGGAGGGAACAAGCCTGTCAATCTTCCGTCCATGCTCGTCCTGTTCTTAAACCAATGTTACCAAAATATTATAAACGGGAACATTTTATTTCAGAAGGAAATTATTTAACGATTAAATTATATTTTTTATCATAATAATTTTTTTATTTTTATTAATTTTATTTTAAATTTTGTATATAGAAATTATTATTTAACTTTTTATTACCTTAAATAAGTTTTTAGATTCTTTACGAATCTCTATATTTATATTCATAAAAAAATTATTGTTTTATATTTTAATTTTAAGTAAATATCTTTATTCGTATAAAATTAATAATGCTTAATATATTATTTATTTTAAAATAAATTATATTTTAAAATTATTATATTTTCATTAAAAATTTATCATTGTAATATATAATATTTGTAGTTAGTGTTAAATTAAAATTATTATATATTATATATATTTATTTAAAATGAAATACTTGTGTATTATTTGGCTACTAATTATTTTACCATATGTATTTATTTATACTCTTAATATATCTATTTACACTCAGACATAATAAATCTAACCGGATACAATCTCACGTGTTTAAAGAAAAATTTCTAGTACAATGATATGCATGTAATTTTGTTATAAAACATGAGCATTTGATATTTTTTTAAAAAAATTGTCTTTTCCGTACTAGTGATCCTAGTCAATAGTAGTAAGTAAAAATCCATCTAGGGAAATGTCTGCAATTTCTCAAAATTGGATCCCATGGTAGACCAGTTCGCGGAGTGTGATAGGTATTGAATTGTAGGGGGATACGAAAAATAGGAGGGAAATAAATAAATAATTAAAATACCAAGTATATGAGACTTTTATTAAGGATATCCTTGATTTTCTTTTGGCGATATTGAAGTAATTCATCGTTTATTTGAATAGGTCTTATCTTAATAAAAATTTGTCTCATTGAAATTTTTCTAAAGCAAATAAACAATGTGTTTTTTTCTAGTTCAAAATGCATATGGAGTCAAAACATATGGAAAAAGGTCTTAAAATTTTATTTTATTTTATTTTCATTAGGGTTATCCTAATTGAATTTTTTTTTATAGGCTATCCTAATTGAAATTGAATGGTTTTAGAAGAGATTTCTTTTTTTAGGAAATTAATTTAAGCAAATTTATAATGAATAAGATTTAGTGTTTTAGTAATAGGCTTTTTAGTGAACTTGACGACAATTGTCTTTCTATTATCAAGGTTGTTATTCCCTCTTCAGAAATTTCCCAAAAGGAATAAAGTTTCTAATGAAAGGTGTTTCCAAAGTTTCTACTTGGTAACTTTGGTTTTCTATAGTTTCTTTAGACAATTTATATCTAATTTTGAGTTTGGATCTACTAGTCATGCTAAACTTTTATAAAAAATTTTAAAAATATTTTGTTAGGATTATTCTTTCTAAAATATAGTTTGTATTTGCACCCTATAAAAAAAATGTCACAATGTCTAAGACAACTATTTTGATATTGATGTAAAACTTTTGGATTGTTAATTGGTTAATTAACTTGAAAAAAATCCCCTTCTCTTTCATGTTTTTCAAGAATTATTTCTTTAAAAATAATTTTTATAATTCTTCATCAGATACTTATTCTAATTGAGATAAGATAATTTGATGAATTTATTGCTATTCTTTTATCTTTATGATTTCTCATTTGAGATTGTTAATATTAGTCTTGAGATATTGAACAGTAATTGATTTAACTATGCTTTTCCTAATTGTTTTGAGATTTTACTTATTGATAAAAATAAGGTCGTTTGTCTTCTTGTGTTCAAAGACTTGTTTGACTTTGGTAACAATAGTTAGTTTGTTTTGGTTCTTAATTTTTCTCACGACTTATGGTTTGAAATCCTTTCGGATTTCCTAGTTTTAAGCTTAAAAAAAAAAATGTTTTGGTTGAGAATTAGGATATTACATAGATAATTTTTTTAGCTTTTTTGTTAGCAACCTAGTGAACTAAATTGTTTAGAAAAAAATCATAAATCATGTCTAGTTTGTGCCTTTTCTCTAAGCTAATTGCTTTGAATTTTATCATCTTAATATATCTTCAAGGGTACCCATAACAATTAAGCTTGTCATAAGGTACTATTCTTATTTTGATATATTTATCAAAGTTTTTCAGTTTTATTTATATTTTATGCATAAAGGTTAATTATTGGACAAATGTAAGAGTAAGAGACTAAAATTACATGTAGGCATTTATCACTTATTTATAGTTTTTTTTATTAAATTTATTATATATTTATAGTCTAATTTTCATTATATGCTCTATTTTTTAAATAAAATTTGGCGTTCTACTTTTTTTTCTTTAAATGTGTTAAGACTATAAATTATAATATATTTTGTACATTTTCATTAATTGTTAATTTATTTTAATTTTTTTATATTATTTAACGTCGAGATAAATTTTTAAAACTCTTATAATAATAAGAATATTTAATATTTTATAAAAAGATATATTAAACTAGTTGAACTTTTTGATATATTAAACTAGTTGAATAATATCAACTTGATATTATAATCATAAATTTTAAATAACTAATAAAAAAAATGTATACATATATTATAAGGGTACAAATCTACTACTAAATTAAACAAGATAACTAATATGTGGTTCTACAATTCAATTTAAAATTATTTAACTCTATTTGGCATCAGGATATAGGATTAAAATCATCATATCATGAGCTAAATCCAAACTTGAAACTGAAATGACAAGAAAAATCAGGAATCAAATCATAATCTTACAGTAGTTATTCCAAAGAAATCAACATAAACAAGCTAACAACATTCCAAGTGCACATGCATTGGCTGAAATGCCCTAGACCTATGAAATACCAAATTTGAAGGCACATCTTTATTTGACACATGAAACAAGATTTGAATCCCAAAAGTGCACCCTGGCCAATCAATAAAAACCAAAGGATATGCTGGTAATTTCAAATAGTGGAAAATAAAATTAAAAAAAGGTTCACCAAAAATAGCACGAAACACAAAGATTTCCAATTAGAAAAGTTTTCCGAATGATTCCTTTTTTAATTTCAACCGTTTCATTTCGGGTATGGGTCACCCAAACTATGACTTACCGTCACCGTCACCGTTCTTCCCTTCGGTGACAGACGCGAGCTTCTGCAGGTTCAGCTTCACGACTGTGTCAGCAAACAAACGCGTGTCCTCCTCTGTGTTACCCTCCGGCACATCAACAACGTACGATTCCAGGACAACGGTCCAGATCTTCCCGTCACGCTCGAACCCGTGCACCGAGGTGACAGACCGGTAATTCCTGAGGCGGTGGTCGCCCCCAACGATGGTGAAACCGATGACGTGTCGGTCATCATCGAGCAGGTCGAGTTTCTCGGTACTGGTAGCTGCCGGTAACCCAGAGATGACGTTCACGTCCCTGGTGCACCCCACGGTGAGTTCAAAACCCTCCTTGACGTGACAGCTCTTGATGAAGTGTTTGTAGGCTTGGGGGTTGTCGAAGCTGCGCACGACGGCCCAGACCATGTGCGGTGGCGCCTGGATTCGCTGCGCGAGGAGGGAGGAGCATTGGCGCGTGCCCATGGGGTAGGTGTGGTGCTCCATCACGGAGGGTTTCAGGTCTTCGAACTCATCGGGGGTTAACCCGGATGGGAGGTCCAGGTGGTGACGGGTCGGGTGCGCGTCGTTCGGATCCTGCTCTGTGCTGTTTCTTTTGTCCATAGCTCACTCGCGCAGATAGGTGTGAGCGAGTTAGAGACTTGAGAACTGAAAGGGTAGTTTTGAAAATAAAGGGCCTCCTGCTGTTGTGGCTTGTACGCAAATGGAATGGTCCGACAGTAATTGAGTATAATTTTGTCGTTTTATTATTAAAATATTATATTTTTCTATCTTTTTTAATATTTTCTTCATAAATTAATAAAAAAAATATGTAAGAAAATAATCACCATATAATAAAGTTTTCAAATAATAAATATTAATATTTTGGAATTTTAAAATGAAAAAGGAATTTTTCATTTGTGTGTTTCTGCGCTAACCTGATCCAAATTGAGCCAATTATAGCTTTTTGTATAGTGACGTCTAGACATTGTTACATTTCGCCAATTTTATAATAATTACCTGTTTGATTTCATTTATTTTTAAGTCATTATTTTTAAAAAACTATTTTTCAACTATACATGTAATAATTATTAATTTTTTTAATCTTCAACACTTAAAATTAAATTACAAAATTAAAAGTAATAATAATTTTTAAAAATATGTTTATTATATTTAAAAATTATAAAACAATTTATTATCAATTATTTAAAGTGCAGTTTAAAAATTAAAGTTAACATTTTCTTAATTATTGTATATTTTATAGCCTATTGTTACATGTTGAAAATTCTATATTATTTGTTTTTAAATGAATTATTAGTTATATAAATTTTTATAATAAAAGAAATATTTTATCAAAACGTTTTTATTAAAAGAAAAAAAATTATATAACTAAAATATCAATAAATACAGATGTTTTTCAAAACGAATAATTTATGTATTGGCATTTTTTAAATTTAAATATTTTTAAATAAAATGAGACTCTAAAATTGATAAATAATATGAGACAAAATGAAGTATACTTTCAAAAGTTTAAAATTCTAAAGTTATATCACACGACTAAATTATTATTATTTTTTTTATCTATGAGGAGATGTTTTCAATATTTCATCTTTTAAAAAAAATAGTTACTTAGTACAAGTTTAAAGAAGAAAGTTATATTTAAAAAAGATAATAAATATGTTTGAAGTATTATAAAGTGACAAGATGTAATTAATATGACAATGTCATTTCTTTCACGCAACAAAGAATAAGGAATTAAAAAAAGTTAAAAAAAAATAGTATTTGATGAGTAATAAAAGTTAGAAAAAAAAAAGTAATAAATTTGTATTTGGATATATTTTATAACCTATATTTATATGCATGACTATTATTTTATAAGAATTTTAAATTAATTTTTTATATTAATTGTATAATTTAGCGTTAGAAGGTCACAATTGAGTTTTAGTTTATTTTGATTTCAAATTAAATAAAAAATAAGTTATGCTGCAACATGCTCACTCATGCTTTAGTAGCACGAGCGTGTTTCGTGGACCATGCACAAGTGTGCATAATAGGTAGTACGGTTGTGTTTGCCTTTGAGAGATTAAATTTGGATATTTTTTAAAAGACCTGTGAAGAGAGTTTGAATTTTAAATTTGACAAATCATATCTTTATCTCTTGATACGTTGTATCTTTATTAGAAATAAAACATATCCCTTGGAGGTAACAACTATAATTTTTTATAGATATTAGACCCTATTTAAAGAATCTTGAATATCTTGGTTTTGATTAGTCATTGACGACTATTGAAACTTTGGAAATGTGTCTTGAGATCAATAACTTCTTCATCTTTTCTCCATTAGAGACTCTTCTAGTTTGCATTTATTTTTTGAAGAACTATGGATTGATTTATTATTGTTTTGGTTTTCTTTTATATTATGTATAACTAAATTCATAATTAGGGCTATGGCGAAACTTTTGCATGACTCTATGAGATCTTTGTGTTTAATGATAATATCATGTTTCCTGTCTTGATTGATGTTTATCTTGTTATGCTATATTTGTATGTTTAGAATTAACAACTCTTAAAACATACCATAAGTAATTATATTGTAGGCAACTATACCATATATAGTTAATGAATCTATAGGGTAAAATGAGACAAAGGATTAGGTAGACCAAGTATAGTTCTTCTCTTTCAATCATTATTAAATTAATAGCTCATAGGCACTTCATGCTTTCTCTTCCCTTTACCTTGCATGACCATTGAGAGTAATAACTTAGGAAAAATATTATTAACATTGCATAACCATTGGATGTTAATTGATAAGTGTCAATTTTCAATAGCTTGCATTGTATATTTCGACACTTATCTATTTCCTTTCATTTAGTTTGCAATTTAATTTCCTTTAATTTTAAGCAATTTAAATTTAGCATCCTTTTTATTTGAAGTCATTTAAATTTAGCATTTATTGTTTTGTTTGTCTAAGAAGAAGAAATATTTGGTCCATTTCTCTTATGCATTTTCTTTAGGGGAAGACTTGATGAGGATTGAAGGGAAAAAAGGATAAGATACTTATTTTGATCAAGTCACGCTCAAGCGAGAAGTTCCTTGCTTAAGCGAGATTGTTTGTTGCAGACCTGGCTCTCTACTCGGATCTCACCTCAACAAGAACAACCTTCCTCTAAGCGATAATGCTCGCTTGAGCAAGAATGGCCTTCGCTTGAGTGAGAATCCCTGCTGTAAACTTAACACTCTGTCTAATTATTGCCTAAGCAAGAATCCCTTACCAGCTTGAGCAAGACCCGTGGCTTGAACGAGAATTCTTGTCTGAGCAAGAATTCACTTATTACACCATTAAGAAGAAGATTCAGCTCTAGAAAATGAGAGTCCAATTTTGATGACCTAACCAGGAAGTGCTAAACAATAGAGAAGGTGATGAATCCACATTTTATAGATATTTTGTTTATTTGTTTATAGATTTTTAATAGAAAAAAATGGACTTAGAAATGATAAATACCATAAAAATATCATTTAGATTAAATATCATAGCTTTCTTAATTTTTGTTTAATTTACACTGATTTCTGTAAATATATTTTGCAAATTTGATCATTTGAATAATTGTGTAGGAATTTTCAGGCAAATCCTTTGGATTTTTTGCTCTTAGGGAAATATGAGGTAAAAGTAATTACTTTTAGGTACTATAGTAATTACTACAACAAGCCAATTCCAAGGGACATGCCAAAATAACTACTTTCAGAAGCAATAGTGATCACTACAGAGCCAATGACAAGTTCAGACCTGCGCGTGTTTACTATAGAGAGCCCCAGAATGAAAGACACTGCGCGTGTTTACTATTGCAAACAATAGTGATTACACGCACCCAAAGTAACTACTATCATGCACAAAAGTAATCACTACAGAGAGGAGAAAACCTATGGATGCTGCACGTGTTTACTATTATGAACGATAGTAATTACTATGAAGAACGTCAAACTTAATATAAATAGATTTTTTTACTATTTTAGGGTTAGAGCTTTATGTCACTTTAGCTTTTTTCCGTTTTAAGAACACTTTTGCAGAGTTAGGTCATCTTTGAGTGACAACCAAGGCATCCTAGGGTTTGATTTTCATTTCTTCCTACTTTACTTTGATTTTTACTTTGGTGTCATTGATTTTTCTTGATTCCCCTCTTGTAATGGTGAGACCATCCTTATGGAGGGTTAATTTTCTTGTAATCTCTAATGAGTTCACATGGATTCTTGAATTCTTGGGCCTTTAATGTTAATACAAAACCCTTTTTCACGAATGTCTTCTTTTCCCAATATCTTGAACTAAGTTAAGAGTTGAATAAGAGGGTGTTGCTTAATCAATTTCAAATTTGTTTTTAACAAAGGTTCTAAACTTGGTTTGCTTAATATCAGGTTTAATTCTAAGGTTGCTTAATCCTAAGGATTAGATATTGGAGCCCACTGATTTACTTAATTTTGTATGGGAATTTAAGGTTAATTTTTGCTTGTTAAAATGACCTAATTTAGGGAAAATGGTAGAGTATTAAATCAAGAAGAATTGGGACAGAATCTATATGGACAAACTAAAGGTTACTATATTTTATTGATTGAACTTTACAATTTAATTTTCTGATTGAGTAATTTGCATTTGGAACCATAAACTCCCTTTTTTTTACTTGTTTTCTGAGTTAATGTTTACAACATGTTTGATGTATGTTTTTTAACCAATGTCATTGGAGACAACTTAGGCTTGCATCTTAAACTACATTAATTTTTTTGTATATTTTAATAAGGTTAGTGACAAACCTTATACGCATCATCAGAAGGCTGTAACACCTTAAATTTAATTTCAATTTAATAAGAATTTCACAAATTCAAATAACTAATTTTCATAAAATACTTCAAAATAAGGAAAGGGTTACAAATTAATATCAAATGACTATTACAAGACTAGTTTAGTTATAACAAATTTTAAAATAAAAACCAAGTCCTATAGTAATCCATCCATCCTTTCACTGAGTCCGGTGTTGATTGTCTTGATTACCTAAAAAATGAATATAAGGGTAAGTACTCTACACTACCCAAAACACACAATCAACATAGAGTCTCACCTCCAGAACCTTCCTAATACATTCAACAAACACAATCACAGGCAGCAATTCACATCCATAAGTACAAAACACAAATCCATGCATACGCATACCAGCCACACTCACTGTAGTACTATGATCACATATTTACACCATGAATAGTCACTGGTTACCCCCACCTCACGGATACCACGTGGACAGTCACGGGTCGCTCAACAAGGATAGTTGTCAGAGGTCTAGTCAGGAAAAGAGTGTGTGGCCTGTGGTACACCCGTTCCGCAGTCGGTGTCACCACCACTCTCTCTTCCCCAAGGTATTCCTACTGTCCTCATCTTCCACACTCCCAGTGTATCGCTGAACCATTCACAACACATCACAATGGTGCTAATACGCCCATTCACACATATATTCCATTCACGCATGCAATGGTCATGCTTACACATGGCACACGGCTCACATTGCATTCAAATACACGGCACTAGGCCCATATTCATTTCACCTCACACGGCACATAGCCAATATTCATCTATCATGCAACATTTACATACAATCCACATCCATCAAGTTTGAGTCAACACACATAATGTTCACATATCACGGCACATGGCCCACATTACATTTCTCAGC